AAACTGTCTCATATAAAACTATAAAGTATTGGGGCTGGGGGTTTAGCTCACTGGTTCCACTGCCTGCCTCGCAAGTGCAAGGTTCTGAATTCGATCTCTGGTACCAAAAATAAATAAATAAATAAATAAATTAAAATACTATAAAGTATTAAAAAAGATTATTTTAATAGGGTCTTATGTAATAATTTGCAAATAGTAATTATTCAAAGTATATCCTTAGTAAAATTTGTTCAAACAATTTTGTCTTTTTATACAGAAAGACATTCCTAAAATAATAATCCTCATTCCTTTTTTTCATGTAACTGGCAGATTTACCAATGAACTGATATACATATTTGTAAGATATTTAAATTGTCTAATTTCCACTTATTGGATAAATGTCTATGGGGAAACCCTGCCAGTGTTTTATATACTATCAAATAGTTTGAACACATGTTAAATGCAAGCAGCACTGCGCTAGCTCACAACTGGGCAATGTAATCAGTTTTCTATTATTGGAACAGCAAATCAATTTTTTTTGCCTGTCCTTTAATCATTAAATATAAAGTTCTTTTGTTAAGAAAAATCTTCAACTGGTTAACTGGTTTCATTTTCATTTAAATACAGAAAATTTTGTATAAAATGATTCCAAAGTCACTTTAACAAGAGCTAAGTACTGACCATCTGCATGGAAGATTTAATCTCTAAACTCTCCTCAGATCCTCCCTTGCCAAGAGGTTTTGAGTAATTTAAAATTATTTTCCAACAAAAATCACTGAAACTTGATTTATGAAAATATTCTGAAACTCTTTCACATGAACTAGACTCCACAAAAAAGATATATTTTTTGTCAACTTTTTTGTCAGATCAACACTGTGAAAACTGAAACAGCCTCATCTGATGTGCATGTTAACATATATTTATTGAATATGTACATTTTAGCTCTTTACATGAATGCAATGCAGAAAAATATGTATAATTCTTTTCTCATGACGTTGTACCACAAATAGCAAAGAGTAATTCAACTTTGTAATGAAATAATTCAATAACCGCATAAAAGCCAGTAAGTTTAGAAGAGAGTCGGTCCAACTTTTATGCATCTCAGAATCATTTGCTATGCTTTGAGAAATACAGATGCCCCGGCCTCTCCTCCAGGGTTCCTGATCATGTATATAAGGGACTAATTCTGCTTATACATATTTTTAGCAAACCAGCTAAGTAGACCTTATCTGCAATAAAGTTCAGGAACTACTGGTTCAAAATGCAAGTCTTGATGTTGTTTCTTTCCTTTGCTCCTCCTTCTTTGATCATCAGAAATAAGAAGGGTAATATATTCTATAAACATTAACTTTTATATATGAATTAATGGACCAACCTAGAGAGTGACAAAATATTTGAGCATAAGTCTATTTTTGGTACCGTACTTGGTTTTGAGATTATAATTCTCCCACTGAAGCTCAATATTTTTATTAACACTAATTATCCTTATTTTAACTTTTAGAAGGTGTATTGATAAAGTTTTAAAAAAGAATTTATTAACTCATCAGCTCTGGAAGTAACAAGATAGAGATGTGATTTTCAAGTATGTTTCAATTAAAACACTGACATGACTCTGAATGCTGTACACCTCCACGTATCAACTTTCTGTTCAGAATGGCCTCTCAGAATCATCAGCAAGGAGGAACTTGTTGCACAGATCATAGTCTTTATTTATAAATTAGAGTCTTAAACCACAACATGCAGAAAAATATATTTCTTTCACCTCCAAATTGACTAAAATGTTTGTACTTTCCCCTGGTAAGGCCACCTTAATGAACTGTCCATTGCTGAACTAAAGTCTGAGTAAAGGATGTGCAACTTTATTGATCACCTTTTTCATTTAAAGCCTACCTGGAAGCAGAGTTAGGGCCAAACAGACTCTAAATTCATACTGAATAGAGCAGTAGGGCAGCAGATTGGGAGGAGACAACTCCAGTGTCAAATATGAAAGAAAATGGGATGAGATAAATTTCAATCATTTTCCTAGCTAGAATATAGTGTTAACACTAGCTCTTGGTAAGATGTTTCTTTTCTTCTTCAAATGGTACGACTCAAGAAGAAAATTACCACTAATTTTGGAAAACCAAGTATGATGTTCCAATTCTTCTGCATCTGGGCCATTCAATTTCATAAAGCAGCAGGGCAGTGGGTAGTAAGTGCTATTACATTTACTTATAGGGCACATACAGGATCATAGTCGATTTGTCCTATAACCCAGAGTGCAAGTAACAATGTTATTAGTTTTGTTAAGGTGCGCATGAGGTGCATAGAAAAGCAGTTAGTTAAACATGGGCTGCATATTAACAGGGGATGTGATGCCAAGTTAAAGGAAATGACAGCAAGACCTAAGCTGGGGGTGGTTTAATGACAAACCACACGGGTGAATCATTTTAAGTTTAAGAGCAACGTGTCAGAAACAATCAATGAATTTCAGCTAATTGCTATTGGCTTCTGCCAGATAAAGAAAAATTAGAAGTCTCTGGAGTGTTTTAGGTGGGAACACATAGGCAAGGCCATGGCTCAACTTAGGGGCCGTTGGTACTATCATACAGAACTGTAATACACTGCACAGAGGATGGGGAAAATACATTACCTAAGTTTAACTCAACAAAAAGAACAACCAGAAAATCCAAAAGGAAAAGATTCTAGGTGTGGCTCACTCCAGTGTTTTACATAAAGTGGAAACTCCTCTAAGCATGGTGGCTATGTACTTGGGTTCTGGAGTTTGTTCTGTCATGAAATCTTATGTCTATGATAGGAGGAGTAAGAGAATTTAGCCCTGCGCATTGCTATGAGATACAAATGAGGTAATGCTCATTTCATGCCATGTCATCAGCTTAAATATAGAGAAACTATTTTAAAATGACATTATTGTTGTTACTCCCGCTTTATGGCTGATGAATCGCCTATACTACTAAAAGTAATAAGATGAGGCATATGGTAATCACCTTCATTTCTCTAATGAATACAAAAGAGTCAAATCATCACATGAAGCCCCATAGTCATTATTACCTGTCAGTTACAAATACTGCACACTTTAGCAAAATAGTATAAACCACATGCTTAAAAAGGTGGGCCTCAAATGCTGCTTGTTTACCTCCAACCACACCTCTCCATCTCAATCAAGTATTAAAAATTCCTTTGAATCTGATCCCTTCGGATTCTGGTGGCGTTTCTTGCAGAGATGAAAACACAAACCCCCAATACTCAGATAGGTACAGTCCATGAATGAATGATCCCTACTTACCCTGTATTAATTGGAGAATCTGTGCCCAACTAAAGCGGGACAGTTTCTCACGAGCCCTGTCCTCAGTCACCATTTTGATAACCTGGCTTAATTGCTAGATCTTCCATTTTTTGAAGACAAGCTAGAAACCAATTTTTGAAATGTAGAATATACTCACTGAGACATTTAGAAAGAAAATAGATGTATAAATCAAGTAATATGTGCAAGCCAGAGGCGGTTTGCAGGTTCCATCTTTCTCCATCTGTTCTCTATGAACACACAATAGTAAAATTAAGATCTGTTTTATCAGGGTTCTTCTGCGTGCCACAGAACCTCATTGTTCCTGCTGTGGCTTGTTGCATTTCCGATCCCAAAGCTCAAACTCTTCCTTTTGATTTGTAAATTTTCAGCTCCTAGGATGGTTGCATCTTTCAGTCACTTTCCAATTTAGGACTACTGACTGTTGGTCAAGAATAGCACTGACAAACAAGGCTAGTATTTCAAGGTGGCTGGATATATAAAGCTAGGGAGAGGTAGAGACTGTGACGGTATGGTAGCTGTGTATATATCTCAAAATTCATCCCTCAAGCCAGAGCTCCCTGAATTTGCCAGATTAATTTGTACAAAAGGGATCTGTCCTCAGCAAACTTAACTTCATGTCATTCTAAGAAGTAGCGACTACTTCGGTTCAGCAACTACTCACATGGCATCTGCAAAACCTTCCAAATTTAAAGAGAAGCCAGAAATGTGCATTTTGTGCTATACCTCCTAATTTAACAATATTTGTTATTTAAATGTTACTACTTAAACCAAAAAACAAATGCATAGACTCACCACCACCCAATCGTATATGCCAATGTCTTCTTGCCTCTAATTTGCAGCCTTCACACTTGACTATTTTATACTTTGTATTTTTCTCCCAGCATGTGTTTCTGACTGATTGTTCTTTTTGTCCCTTTTTTTAGATGTACTAATTTAACTCTAGTACATATAAGTGGGATTATTACTTATCCTGTCTTTTAAATCTTATCTTTGCAGACTGGCTTCACTCCCACATTGTCCCAGTTCAACATGGAGCATCCATTTCTGGGCCCCAGTTCATAGCAAGTCTTAACCTTGCAAATTCTACATGAGACACCTTCAGTCTCACCTTTGTAGTCCCATCCCAACACCTCATTGCCAAAGATGGGTGCTTTGAAAAGAAAAAATCCTTCACAACTGGTGTTTCTATTCTCTGGCAGAAAGTTACCTCTGTCAAATTTACTAAATATAAGACTATTGGCAAACATAAAATAATTACAATCCTATATCAGTAAACACATAACTGGTGCAAAATTTCATAAATAAATATGGCCCTCATAAAGCTACTGAAAATCTCAAAGCTGAGTATAAAATGTACCAGCAATGGAAAATATAAGATTAGTGAAATTTTCATAATTGCACTATTTTGTTAGGAAATTAAGGAATTTTCAAAGTGAATCACTCTAAATGTTATATTTAATACATGCATACTCTTAAAAAAAAAAAAACCACGCTCAGCAAATGAATAAATGCATCAGTGAAAGCAATACATCTTCCAGAGTTAAAATTGTGCATATATGATGCACAGTGATTTTACTTGCATGTACATATTTAATAGGTATATAATCTTCTAGTTTGAATGAGAGTCATCATATATGCAGGCTCTAAGAATTGGCAAAGAAGATAAACATTAAATTGAGTTTAAATGTTCTTCAAAATTGATTATAGCAAATTACCCAAACTAAAGCTATATTTAGAAGTAAACCTAGGAAATCTTGTTTTGGCAGACGATCTAGGTCTCCTGACTAAAGATGTAAAGGGCTAAGAGTGCTTCTGAGACAAGCGGCAATACTATGCTGACACTCTTGATTCAGAATAACAGTCAAAACTATACACCAATAAATTTTGCATCTTGATCCAAGAGGTCAGTTTCAAGTAAGTTCTATTTCTCATAATTCAGCACCTCAGACATATTCTTATGACTGTTTATATGATCATAATTGGACATGATGAAATCTTTCTTTTGGTTAGTACAGGTTTAAGTACTGTATCTTAAATTCAAGAGTTCCTTCTCTTTATAAACCTCTTATATTCCCTCACCATTCCTCCATGCTATGCATCTTCACAGAATATATAAATATTTCTACAAGAGTCAAATTGTTTTGTATGCTGCATTAGGTTAGGTGTTCAAATAGTATTCAGTATACAGTCAGCATTCTTTGCAATTCAAACGTATGTAGAGTTGACTTTATTTCTTTATGCCAGTGTTTCAGTTCCTTTAAAATTGTTAACAGGCAGTATTCTAGATTCTGTGAATGATAATGAAAATAAATAGTAACAGGATTCAAGTAGTCATGGCCTGGCAGGACAATGTATATGAAATCAATCATAAGTTAATTAGACAATAAACACTACTTTCTTCTCTACCAATAGCAAAATTACAGCAAAAACTAAGAGTTGTTACTGATTACTATGTGAAATTATCCTGTTTGTTTTTCTATGATGTGATCACTATAATACTTATCTGATCACTTCAAGTTATTTAGGAAACAGGAAACTGAGAATCAGCAATTGAGAACATTATTTATTAGTAAGTATGAGATCAGTGATTTAAACCCAAGAAGGCTGAGTCTAAGTCCTTGGTACCTGTTTGCTATGAAGCTTGGACAGTGGACTGATGAAATATACCTGAGAAAATTAGGACAATTTCAAAGAAAAGACATTTTTTTTTTCTTTTTTGACAACATATAGTAAGTACATATTATGGGCCAGGCCCATTATGGGCCATTATGTGCTATGCTAGATAAGAGAAGCATACATACAAAAAAGACATAGCGTCTTGCCTTAAAGAGTTCACAAATTAATATGGAAAAGGACCTCATTCAAAAAAAGAAATGATTGGTAGGGAGATAAGGACAGTAATAGAGACATATGGAGTGGGGGCCACAGGGGGTCAGACACCTGCTCAGATGGGTGAGGGATGGCTTCACAAGGAAAAGACAAGTCCTACTGAGACCTAAAGAATTAGGAGTAACTGCCAGATGGCCAGAGCGAAGTTCATTTGTGGCTCAGCATGTGGAAAAGCATAGAAGTTTAAAATGTCATTGTGTATATGGATGAGGCTGGGGCTTTAGTGAAAGTGGGTAGGGCTGCTTGGGCTGAGTCAAGCAGAGCAAAATGTTATCCTTTATTTTCCTTTCCGGGAAGGACCATTAGATTTTACCCTCTGTGCCATGTAGAACTAGGGAAAAGCTACTTGGTATTGGTATTGGGACAAAATCATTCAGGTAGGTGATTTTACAATAGAGCAGTCAGATTTTTCTGAAGTTTATGGTGGAAGAAGACATTTCAGAACACGCAGCAAGAAATCAAATCAGAATGGCACTATATGCTGCGGCTAAGAAAAAACATGAGTAACAAAATTTGACAAACGCAGGAGATTTTAAAAGTTGATAAAAGTAAAATTTTAGGTGATCTTCAGTTCTATCCACAGGAACTTTTGTTCTTCAAGAGATAGTCGGAAGGATAACATAATTATATCTGGATTTTTGAAAGATACACATAGTGAAAATCAAGAGGAGTAATTGTTGGCAAACAGCCTAAGGATCCATTTTGTGATAGCTCCAGTGTGAAGGAAAAGAACAATATACGAAGGAGCAATAAAATGGAAAGAGGACAGTGAATCTGAAACAATTCCATGTAGAAATGGTACGATTTTGCACAGAAAGGGATGTACGTGGTGAGGGATAGGTAGAGATGCACACTATTTTAAAGAGTGATTGTGTGCTCATGTATGTGTGTTTTGTGTTGCTGTGTGGCCCTGGGGACTGAATACAGGGCTTTTACACTGAGCTACATTCTCAGCCTCTTTTTTTTTGGTTGCTATTATTTTATTTGAGATTGAGTCTAGCTAAATCACTAAATTTCCCAAGCCAGGCTCCAGCTATGTGTTCAACTATGAATTATTTTGTAACATTTGTTAAGTGTAGATGATCTCTTTTCTCAAACAACTTATATGTTTAAATTCAAGGCGGATCACATTGTTGATTGACAGGACCTAAAGCTAGTTGACAAAGGGGAATGGCCACAGAAGAGTGGAACATTCACAGCAATAGGCAAGATGCAGACAGGATGACATGCCAGATTTCTGGCATCGATAATGAGGGATGTGCGAAACAGATAAATAAGCATTCAGGTGTTTTACTTTAGATCGAGGGGTACTGCAATCTCATAAAAGTCTTCTCAACTACTTGGGTAAAATATAAATCCCAGAGCAAAGAATGAAGACAAAGATAGAAATGGAGGGAGAAGACAGGTGAGGTAGTAGGCAGTGCTATCATCACAAAGAGGAAAACGAAACCAGGCTACTGATCAGAAGGGGAAGTCAGTAACCCTGTTACTTTGGTAGTGATAAACTCTGGCTTGTGGCTCATTATGTCTGCTAAAGTTTGGGCAAAATCCTGGAGTCTAAAGAGAGCTAAACCTGTAGGTGTAACTCGCACCTCTACATAGGGCCAGAGACAGGAGGAATTATAAGGCATTGAAGAAGTAAAAGTTTTTCAAGGAAAGAGACTCACTGTTTGCTGAACTTCTATTTCTGTGATAGGAACTGTGGTATAGCAACAATACTGAGACATCAATATTATTATTCCTATCTTACGCTATTGAGGGGAAACTAATATTCCTAGTAATAACTTAGGTCAACTCACAGAGCTAATTGATGGATAAGTTGTGACTGGTCATCCTGTGCTTTTCCCTGGAGTATATAAGGGCCACTTTAAAATGCTTCAGAGAGAGAGAGAGATAAAGAGATACAGAAAATCCCTAACAAATAATACTCTTCAATCAAAGAAGTGTTTCTCAGCTGTTTCTCAGCCTGAAGAGATATTAAAGAAATATTCTCTCCCCTAAAGATAAAAGCAGGAATATATTGTTCTATCTTCCCCTCTTCCCTGGAAAACTTAACTCCTTGACCCCCTGCCCTCTTTGTAAAGCAGACTTTTCTTTCTCTGTGGACTAGAGTCCACCTAATGACTGATTTCATCTTCTCTTCGCCTGCAACTGGAGCAGCAACTGAACAACATACTTGGACTTTTTCAGAACTAGTGGGAGAGCCTTCCAGATCTGCAGAAACCATATGTGTAACCAAATCCATAAATCACTTAGAATCATTATTTCAGGAACAGACATTCCTTTGTCACCTCTCTAGGAGAGCTCCAACCTCTGCAATTCTTTTGAGACCTTCCTTCTGCAAGTCTGAGCAAGATGGCCCAAGGGGTAGCACAACCAAAGTGATGGGAGGTGAGACCCTGACCATCTGCTGAAGAGGCCACAAGCTGGGATGTATCTCTGATGATTTCATAATATTTATGCTACAGGAAGATCCTTGCCCTTCCCACAAATAAATTAGCTTTTGTAGAGGGAAAAATTAACTCATTTTTTTACTAACTCATAAAAGATGTTAAAATTGGTCAAACACTAAGATTGGCACTAATTGCAGCAGCCAGGCCTCACACATTCACTCAAGAAAAAGATTATCATTTATTTCATTAATTTAGACTTCATAGAAAATTTATAAATATTTTCTAATTCATAGGGAATCTGAATATCATACTGAGAATTGATGTTTTTCTTGTATTCCTAACATATTTTTAGACAATTGTGGTTTCCTGTGCCTGAGTTGAATGCAGCATGCTTTATTAAACACTAGTGCAGCTTTTTGATAAACTAGAAACTGTCTTATGTAGAAGATGGGCTTTATTTTTTTAAAGACACAGACTTATTTGTATTTGGTTGTGAAGGAAATTCTAAGTCATCAAGAGTCACAATGCTGAGGCCAGGCTGAGGTGCTTAAGTTTGCTTGCATCATGAAATTTTAGATGGCTTTTTTTGCAGGGTGGTCTTTTCTTTTCCACATCAAAAAGGATTCATAGCTTCCAGTGTACTACTTTATCCCCAAAAACTCTGAATACAAAACAGAATTTGGAATACAAAACAAATACAAAGAATACAAAACATTTTTGGAGTAGATTAAAAAAACAGTGTATGGTAAGAATGACATCACATAATCAATATTTTAATTTTTAATAAGCAGTATTTTCAAATATAACCAATCCAACCACGCTACAAAGGGGTGTTCAGAATATACAAAGGGAAATAACTATTCTGAGTGCTGAAGTGGTTTAGGAAAGGCTAGAGCTGAGGAAGATCTCCTTAAAATTTGAGTTGGGATTTTTCCTCGCATATACATGCCACATACAGCAAGTAAGAAAAGAAAGCAGATGTTCACACACTTTAAATAAAGGACATAAGTGAAAATCAGTAGGAAACAAAACCACCACAGGATATTTTCCCTACATTTCATCCTGAACTCTAAATCCCCTGAAACGTAGACGATGTTCTTAATTTTTGACACCTGAAAAAAATTAAAGATTTTCCTATTAGAGCTTAATTGAAAGGAAGGAGAAAGAACCACATAGGAAGTTGTCTAAAATTTCTGGACATGATGCAAGGTTATTTGAAATATAGAAATGACAACTGAGGTTTTGGGAGTCCTGGACCCTCAACTCATACCAATGTGAACAGATAGTTTTAACCCATAACCCTGGAACAGAGGAGCAAAGATAAATATGGAGAAAAAAATAAGAACCATACAAGCCAGATATGTATGCATGGGATGCGTTTCTCAGTTGAAATACAACAATGAAACTAATCAAGCCTTAGGAATATGCAGGTTTTGTTCCTTCCCAGAAAGTGGACATCTTGGCTGTGGTGACGTTTGTTCATTTCAAACACTTTGATGAGATCCTGTTCATTTCCTGCTTGCTGGAGGTTGGGAAGACTGGACATTGAAGGTCGAATATCTTTCCAGTGCAGTATGATGACTTGCAGTCCAGGAATTCTGGAACTCAGTCCTGGCCCTACTTCTTTCTAAGCCTCTGACCTTAGGCAACTCATGTGACTTTTCTACACTTATGTGCTGTCATCTGTAAAACGAGAAAAATAATCTTCTCACAAGATTTACAAGTTAATTTTAGGGCAGTGCTTGAGATCTAGTAAGAGCTCAATAAATGACAGAAGGAAGGTAGTCAGAATAGTGTAATCATATGGGTCGTTGAAACAGTGGATTGTTAAGCTGGATTTAGGAAAATGACTAAGGCATGAGAATTGACTTCAGTCTCTGCAGAACTTTTATGGATTGTATGTTAAGTTCAGTGTGATGCTTTTCTAAGGCAGAACAGACTCTTTAAAAGGTTTCTGAGGAAAACAAACCTATAGAGTGATACTGTCTGCTTTATCCCAAGTTTCATCATTTCTTCTGGTCTTTCTGGGTGTTTCCCCAGGTACTGATCTCAACTCCATTTTTGCTCTGGCTTAGAATTCATTATGAGGCAATCACATGGATCAAGCATATCACCCTTCAGGTTCCATCATGATTTTGTGGTTCTCAATAATTCTGAGTTTAATCCCACCCAATTTTAGACAACAACCCAGAGTAGATGCTGCTGTGGCCTTTAGGCTACACTTGATCTGAACATCCATTTTCTTTGGCTGTACAATTACTTTTAAACAAAGAACTGATTCCCATAAAATTTTTACTTTTTCTTGGAAAAGAAAACTGAAAGGTCTGACCTCAAAATCCCTAAGTATAATAATTGGATGAACCTGAACAGGGGTACAGAAGACACCAGTGACCAGAGTTTATTGCTTCCCTCTTCCTAAGAGAACTAGGTATGTTCAGATACTTGGCTTCAGATGGCCTTTTTGACTCTAGAAAAAGCGACTTTCTTGGTTTCTGAATTATTCCTTTGTGCCAGAAATGTGTTCCTCCAAAGACATTCTAGGGCTTCTGGAAAAGGGCCCTCTTTCCACATTTTCTGAGAAATCTCATAAATATCTGTTCTTAAAACATAAAAAAATATAAAACCTTTGCACAGTAGTGAGGATATATGAAGGCAATATTATAAAAGCCATCCTTTTCTTCTGGATACTATTAGTCACAACTACGAGGCCTGAACTTTTGTAGTTACCTTGTCACCATATCGAAGACAAAACCCTATAGAATGGAGAACAGAGCCAGGAAAATTTTGGGGAAACAAGAAAACAGAGAAAATCAATTCAGAATCTGACATTATCTCTAGACTTAATTACTATTATGTGAGCCGTGAGTTCTTCCACTCCAGTCATTTGGTTAGTCATTTAACTTGGAGGGGGCCAACATAAGTATATCTGCACAGCATCTTCTCTTCATACATGTGCCGCCTCAGCTTCATTCCTCTTAATACTTGAGTTTGTGTCTCCTTCTACAGACACAGACCAAAACTACTCTGGACCAGAAAAATATCAGGGCTTGTATGTTTCAGCAGTCAGAATGAACTATGGTAATAGTGACTTACCCTTCTTTTAACGAAGGGAATGGCAGAGGGGACTCCCTTAGGAAATACCTCCTACTTTCCTATTCATGGATAAAATTTCTTCCCAGGGGATAACATAAAATAATACTTCAGTGAGAGGCTCTATGATCAAACTGCTTAAGTTTAAATTCTGGTCTTCCAGATTGTCATCTGCTTAACTTTCAGTGAATGCCAACTTTTTAAAGACCTAATATTCTTATATGAGAAACTGGGATGATAATTGTATCATACTTCTTGGGGATCTCTGCTCAGCATTTTAAAAGTTAACCTTTTATGCAAACAAAATATTGCCTTTATATATCCTCACTACTGTGTGAAGGTTTTATATTTTTTATGTTTTAAGAACAGATATTTATGAGATTTCTCAGCAATGTATCAGAATATATGTTTAAGAATTTTATTTGAGGATACCTTGGAGAACTTCTGTACATATTTTCCAAACTTATAGAAAAGTCTCCATTTAGATTTTAATTTCCTAGAAAACAACTTCTCAAAAAAGAAAAGGATAAAGAATGCATTATTTGGTATGTTGATTCAAGTAATCAAAAAGAATATTATTCTACCCAAAAGGCAGGAAATAAATTGGAAGTCACCACTAATCCACTGAACTTTGTTGCTGGAATCATTCAGTGGCTTAGCTCAGGGATTTTTGCATACTTTTATTCAACAAAACCTTTTCAGTCATTAAATTAATGTACACACATTGAACAGAATATAAATTAAACTTTTTTGATTCTGCTACATTTGTTCTCAAGGTTTTAACTAAAAAGAGGTGTGGCTTGAATCAGAAGAACTAATTTCATTTCACATCTTTTGCTTATATTTATTGGGGATATTCATTTTGTCAGACTCAGTGTAGAATAAAGTGAAAGTCAAAGTTCTAGGAATGCTAATTTAAGCTCCAGTTCTGATATAATATAAATAATTTCCCTGGCTCTTCAAAGGCTTCCATGTTAAAATAAACATATAATAATAACTTCTTTTTCTATTTTTATTGTGGTAAAATACTTATAAGATAATATTTACTGGTATAACTGTTTTTGAGTGTTTAGTTCACTGGCTTCAAGCACATTTGTACCAATGCACAATCACCACCATTGTTCTAAAGAATTCCTCTCATCCCACAAAAATGAACTTTATAGGTATTAAGCAATAACTCCCTAATCCTTGCTGCCCACAGGCCAGAGCTTTTAATTTTCTGTTTGGAAGTCTTGGACTATTATAAGTGCCTCATTCAAGTGAAATCATACAGGAACTATCTTTTCATGATTTATTTCATATAGCATAATGTCTTCAATGTTCATTCATATTGTAGCAACTGTCAGAATTTCCCTCCTTTTGAGACTGAAAAATATTCCACCAAAGGCATACAATACTTGTGGTTTAATCAATTATCTATTAGTAGCATGTGTGTTGCTTTCATGTTTTATTTACGATTTATAATAATATTAGCACATTTGGGGAAAATAACCCAAGACTTTGCTTTTAATTCTTCTGAATATATGTTCAGAAGCAAAAATTCTGTATCACAGTACTCCATTGTGTACTGTATACATTCAACTGTTGATGGACATATAACTAGCTCCAAAATTCAATTGTCATGAGTTGAGCTGCTATAAACATGGGTATAGATGTATCATTGTATCATGTATCAGAATAACGTCTTTATGTCTTTAATACTTTTAGGGAGATATTTAGAAGGGAAATAGGTAGATTGAGTAATTTATATTTTTAGTTTTTTGAGGAGTCTCCATACCGATTTCCCCTTTCTCCCTGCAGGGTTGCCACAATTTATTATGTAATTCCTTGATGATAGCTAATTCTTTCTGGAGTCAGATGGAATCTGTGATTTTTAATTGGCATTTCTCTAATGGCCAGAGATTTTGAATATTTTTCATATTTTTATTAACCATTTGTACTTCTTCTGAGAAGTGTTTATTCTAGTTGCCCATTTTTTGATTGAGCATTTTGGGGGTTCTAAATTTTTTGAGTTCTTTATATATTGTACTTACAGGTCTTCTGAGGAATACCTAGTAAAATTTTTTTCCATTGTGTAAGGTGTCTCTTACCTCTATTGGCTATTTCTTTAGCTTTGAAAAAGCTTTCCAAGTTGATATAATCCCAATTCCGGATTCATGATATTTCTTGTGCAACTGGCATTCTGATCAGGAAGTCCTTGCCTATGTCTCTTTCTTCAGAGGTTTTATCTATTTTATCTTCCAACCAACTAATTGCTTGTTTCAATATTTATATACTCGATGCATTTTGATTTTTGTTTTTCATTGAATTCTTCTTTATCTTCTATACATATTCCTTTTATTTTTTTCTCTGGTTTGATTTCTCTGGCAAATATTGTGAGTACTATATTGAATAAGAGTGGTAACAGTGGATATTCCACTTTGTTCCTGAATTTAAAGGGAAAATTTTATGCTTTTCCCTATTTAATATGATTTTGATATTAGGATATTCATAAAGAACTTTCATCAGATTGAGATAATGTTCTACTATACGTATTTTCTTCAGAGTGTGTCAGATCAAATGGTCTATCATATTCTTCAAGTCCTCTGATTCCTTATTTTCTGTCGTCGCTTTTTACAATATGGACAGTAGGGCAGTAAAGTCTCCTACTGTTAACAACAGAACTCTATTTCATTCATTATTTGTCATTTATTTTGTCATTCATCATTTGCTTCATTTATTTTGATGATGTGGGAATTTTTACAATTGTTTTATGTTGTCGGTGCATTAAAATATTATATACAATATCTATATATGATATACTTTGTCTCATAAACTTTTTGATTTAAAATCGATTTTTTATGGTATCAGTATAGCCACTCCTGATTGCTTTTGGTTACTATTTGAGTACAATAGTACTTTCCATCATTTCAACTTTTACCCTATTTTTTTACATGGATCTGAAGGTTCTCATAAATAGCATATAGTTAGATCAGTTTTTGAAACCAATTCTATCAGAATCTGTTTTTATATTAGAAAATTTAATCCATTTGAATACAAAATAATTGCTGAAAAGGAAGGAGCCACTCCTGTTATTTTGCTACCTTTTTTTTTTTTTTCTTTTTTTGTTCCTCGTTTCCTGTATTACTGTCTTCTTTTGTATATGGGTGATGTTCTTTGTAGTGAAATATTTAAATTTTCTCTCATTTGCTTTTGTATATATTCTTTAGCTACTGTCATTATGATTACCATGGAGATTTTTCTCAACATCTGAAAGTTATAACACCCTCATTTGAATTTATATGAGCTTAGCTTAAACAACATATTAAAAACTCTTGTCCTTTAATACCTGTCCCCGGCCCTTTCAGTCGATATAATAAAACCCTTAGAATTGTGTCTAAAATTATAAACTAAGATTTTTTTTTAAAGCACTGGTCTCTAAAATTATATAGATATCAGACATGGAGTTATCAATCAAAAAGCATAGTAATATTTAGTTTTAGTGTGATATTTTAAAAAATTTTAGTTTCTTAAATCATGTAGAAAACAGTGGAGTTACAAACCATTGCTACAATAACACTTTTATAATTGTGTATCTATTTTGTTACTAAAAT